TAACAAAGTTGTATGATGGCATTTTGTGAGAATCTATCAACAAATATCAATGACATCAATAAAACCACGACTTAATAACACTCAATTACACAACAGTTCATACCTGTATAGGGATCATTTATCCAATTATAAGCTTGCAATAGCTTTAATAAATGCAGCCAGGAAACCAGTATTTCCAATCAGGAACACAACTAACACCATCTTCTTGACTTTGGAAACCTGAAAGAAGTGACAGTGAAGAATCAATAAAAAAGAGGAAGATATAACACTTTAAAAATAATAAATGAAGGCAAATCTGACCTCTCCATGCTGCAGTCTGTCAAGCTGAGCAAACAAAATATTCTCTTTGTCATCGCTGCTGCTTTTGCCTGTGGATACATATGTGATTTTTAGTCCGACGAAGTAGAGAACACTAAAACAAATACATGTTAGTTTAAATACAGCTATACCAAGAACATTGCTATGAAGAACTGGAACATCACTGCATAGTAAAAGAACAGCCCTTGCTCTGCTGTCTCGGATACTCAGTCCAAGCCTAACAACCAGTCGATATGTTTTTCTAGGTTTTAAGAAGAAATTTCATCTTAAGAATGGTTGGTGAATGAGGCCCAAAGAGCTCATTTTACGTCTTTCATTAAGACAGATGCTGCAGATGGATAACATTTCCAAGCTATTTCACTTTCTCATTCATTTACACCCACATAAATACACCCACCTGTGATGCACACACACACACACATTCTTTCAGGGCTTCAGTTATAATGCTTTGGAACAGAACAATTGATTGATTCTCTGGCTGCAGGCAGCAGCAGCAGCTGCTAATTGAGACAGGTAATACCCATACTGTTCCACTTCTCCAGGCATTATGAACAAATCCACATTGCACAGCTATCAAAAGAGAAAGCTAAAGCCGTTTTCAGACATGACTAATGGAGGATGTCCTGAGTTTCACACATCGCAGCAAGAGGTTCTCCGATTCAAATTGTCCATAACAACACAGAACTCTCCAGAGCATTCAGGTGAGGGGGTAGAAGCAGAATGTAATATATTAATTCTGCTGCAGAGATCACCAGCATAAGCCCTTATTGCCAAAAGCTCTCTTGACATCTGTGTCTTCTTTGTGTATGGCACCAATTATTCATGTGAAGAGATTTGTTTTCTGTTTTATTCATTTTTGCGTCTGATACTTGAGGATCTCCTGCTTTATTCCCACATCAACTCCTTCGGACATTCTGCTGACTTTTTACTAGGAGGCTGGCCAGATAAATAACACGGGTCTATTTTGCCTATACCTCTGAGTCTGGACTGGTGGATTAGTAGCAGCAGGTCTACCAGCATGATCCACAGCAACCATCCAGTCAGCACTGCAGGAGACCAGGGACTGGGTAATAGCAGCGCCTGCTGTGCAGCACCCAGGAATACACACACTGCTGCGAGGGAGAGAGGACCAGTCAGTGGTTGAATTTCAATCTCAGGCCTTGTGAAAGAAAAACCATGTAGATCATGGGGCACACAGTACATTATCCATTACAGCACAGTCTGTTATTTTTTGTATGCTACTTTCAGGCCTTTCTTCTTTTGAATTTTATTTTTTCCAAATCAATTTCACTCCAAAAAATTCTTCTTAACTAAATAATTAGTTGCCTTACGTTTTTATTTTAAAGTAAGTGATTTTATCCATGTTAACAGTTTACAATCGATTAAGATGTTGTGACCATGTGAATGTGACAAAAATCAGTCTACTGTAGCCTACTGCATTCACAACAGGAGGCCTGGGACACTGGGATTACATATTTTGAAATAACTGCCATTCAAAACAACTAATAAAATCTTTTCTAATTTTTCTTCTTACTGGCAAGTATCTGGGCAGCAGTGCCTGCTCCAAAGTGTAGCCATCTGAAGATGATCCTCCTGCCAGAGAGGAGAAGAGACAGGACCTGGCATGATTTCAGTTCACATGGATGAGGTTAAAAGTACTACTGCCACTTTTCACAGGACAGTGACGTGCAAGTGAGGGAGTTATTAAAACCTGGTTTCTTACCGTGGGGAATCTGGTACTGGTCTGAGAATTGCCATAATTGGCTGGATGATAGACAGAGCCATGACGGTGCAGCCTATGTAAGGGTGAGAGCCTGCAGCCTGGGACGAGAGAGAAGACAAGAGAAAACACAGGAAGAGGAGCTGCAGGGATATTCTGTGGTGCACTGGTGAAATGCTGGTAAGCAATAACAATTAAAACTTGAACTGGATCTACTCGTTTAAAATCATTTCTGCTGTCATATTCTTTGGATTGGTTTTAATTAAATAAACTTCATTTTTCGCATTTTTTTTTTGACAACCAGCAGTTATCAGTTGTGATTACATGAAATCTCAATGAAATCAAATCTCATCAGCCAGGTTGGTTACAAGTGCTGGGTTTATCAGTTGGAGGATCACTTTAATGGGAGTTCAAACTAACAGCGAGCCAACCTGAAATGTTGATAATAGTTCCTCACTGCACAGGGAAATTGTGTGCTCAACACTGTCATGAAATAGGTCAAATATGAAGCAGGAATATGTCCTATGAACAGTTCTCTTACTCTTAACTTTGCTTATAACCCCTTTGATTGTCTCAACTTTTATTTACTTTTTTGGCAAAGCAAGAGAAGACCCAGATGGATAGAGGGTGGGACAAAGTTGAAAAATGAAGTTGCAATAATAATAATAATCAATACTTAAAAAGCTATAGCAAGATGTAACATAAATTAGTTTACAGTCTGTGTTTAAGTCTGATTGAATACATTCATTAAATAATTAAATCCACAGAAATCCATTCACTTACTTTGTACTTAAAGGGATAGTTTGCCGAAAAATGAAAATATACTTATTATCTACTCAGCACTATGCCGATGGAGGGTGGGTGAAGTGTTTGAGTCCTCAAAACACTTCTGGAGTCTCAAGGATAAACAGCGCAGTCAAATCCAATACAATTATATGATGTGACCTTGTCTTCAGACATAGTAAAACAGCAGAAAAAACATAACATGCCTCCACGGTGTGGTGTCATCCAAGTGTCTGCAAATCCAGACATCCAAATTCGACTCAAAATTCACTGATTATCTACATGAGTAGTTTTCAGTGTGTTATCAGCATCATTTGTGATCATTTTCACCCATTTACACAAACATTATACAGTTTATCTATGGGCAGCACATTTTATTCTCTATAAAAACAGCACAGACTAGAAAAGTGCTATATAAATTCAGACCATTTACTATCATGATAAGCATTGCCATCCTCTTCACGAAAAAACTTTTTGGCATCATTTTCCCCCTTAACCATGTGTTATAAGTGAGTGAGTTCTGAGACCTCTTTCTCATTAACAGCATGCAACTTAAGAAAGAAGATATTTCAGTGAAATGTAGCAACTGACAATTTAATAATGGTGATTCTGATATGATCTATGCATGTAAATTATATTGTATTACATTTAATAAATATTGAGATTTTATAAGTTAGTGCCATAAATGTCCTGGAATCCTTCACTAAGCATATATGAACATAATCGGTAAGAATAACAATATTCTAAGATACAGCTTGGAAGTTGTGTATCATGAGAGGATACGAGCAGAATTATTTTTAAAAATTAAAATTAAAACTACATTTTACTGTATAGATGAGCCAGTTTGCATCTTATTTGTTCTTTTTTCAGACTGGATGTGATTAGACCGGGACAACAGCCACTGGATCCAGTGATAGGGACAAGTTTCCAAGAAGATCCCTCCCACACTGACGCTAAAAGCTACAGAGGAAAATAACGACACACTTTATCTGTATATAATCTGTTTGTGTAAAAACAGAACAGTGGAAGCACTGACATGAGTGAGGATAGAACAACAATATCTTCCATCAGTATCTTTTCAAATAATTTAGTTTTGATTTACTGGTGGACCTTCAGACATTATGTTTCAACGGCCTGTGATGGGGAAAGATAGACACCTAGAGGCCACTGCAAAAAACAGGAGAATGATGAATATACAGTATCGACGTCAAAGAGCTGAAAATATCAACATCTTTATGTTCCAGGGGTGGGTGTCATCTAAATCCTTAATGTATCCTGTAATGGTATTTAATACCAGCTAAAGGGGACGTTTTGGACTTTAGTGAGACTCTATAAAAGAATAAAAGATATTTTTCTAATGTGGTTTGATGTAGTATTATAAGATTTTGGATATAGGTCCTCGGGTCCCTGAGGGTGGTGAACAGCTAAACCCTAAAGGTTACAATTTAAATGAGAGGCAACATCTTCTGTGACATGTTTTGGAGGTACAATATACCAATGGTTATGAAGAATAGTATAGCCAAAGCAAATACAAATCAATTAAGTTTTAGTCTTGTACTTCCAGCTCCTGTCTTCTCTATTACTATCTATTAGAAAATTAAGCATTTCATTCTCATTTCCTGAACTTTTATTGTCAGCGCTGAATTTCCCTTTTTTCTAATGTTTAAAGTTTCCCTCCATGTGTCCCACTTTAGCCAATTACCCATTATTTCATGCTGATTGATATCAACAGATATAATGTGAATTTATATCTTAAATAGGCCATTATGTTAATTATCATGTGCTTCCTCATGACGCTCCATAAAATCATATTTAGTTTATAAAACATGATTTGGAGAATCTGACGAAACCTAAATATTGTTTGTAGGATAGCGACATGAGACGTAAGTGAGTACCTCTCCCTTTCTGCTGCTGCAAGTACCACTGGTGGTGGTGGTGGTGTGGGGGGGGTGCTCCAGATTCAAACTAAAATCAGCATCCATCATGCAAACTGGAGACAACGTGACAATTCACTATTACCTTAACCAGTGCACTGTGTTTATGTAAAACATGTCTCATTTACTGTGTTTGTTGAGCAGGTGGTTTGATAAAAATTTGAATCAACCTTTTATGTTTTACTGCACATAAAGTGTAGTTGCCGTCAAATGTGTGTACTCATCCTACAGGAGGAGAGAAAATATCATATTTATTACATAATTATAAAATATATATTGTGTTGGTGTCTGTGCTGAAAGCTGCAGCCTCTGCGGTGAGTCAGGTTGAACAAATGCTTGGATGGATTCCACACTGTGTCATTTACACCACAGAACAGCATGTGATTTATACAGCTGAGTCATTCACAGACATACGCACCACAGTGCAGCTCACAGTGTTGGCCACAAGTTCAATCATGGCAGAAGAAGCTAATTTACTTCCTCAAGGGACTTTTACTGAAGAAAAGACTTGTGACTAACTTATCAAAGATAATTATGACATATTATAATTATATCAGTGATGATCATACATAGATGGCATCATTTAAAAACACTTCCCACAATACTATCACAGACTAAGAAATAAAAATGATTTATTAGACAAAGCCATAAAATTGTTCTAACATTTAACATCTTAACTTTTCATCTAGTGTCATTATCAGATTAAAATGCTATATGTCCAACACTGACCATTACTGTTGATCCCATTCCCATCAGCTTCTACTTTATTTTTAAAGCTTTTGGCAAAGCTTTGCATGCCAACATATTCCACTAAGATGATTTATTGGTTTTCAAGTGAATATGTTAGCCTTTAGTTTAAAAGACCAATATGAATTGAACAACCTCACAGGGCAGTATACTACCTGGAGAATTTAGTATATACATTGTTAAGGTATGTCTTAGCAGTTTTTCTGAAATAGAAAAGAATATTTGCAAAATGTTCTGTGAAGGTGACTCACTCCACAGCTGAAAAAAACATGTATTAGTCTAATTTCACACATACCAACTCGAACAGAGGAGAGCGTTAGGCTGCCATTCATGTGAATGGAAAATAATGTGTGAAAGCACATTGCCTGTGAAACACTTGTGTTTCAGTGTACTGGTAATGTGAGATAATCAGAGCTGAATATTGCTTCATCTTCCAATGTGTTCTGGTCTGAAAGCCTCTTTCAGACCACACCAGAATGAAGAGGTTCTGACACTGCAAGAGCTATGTATATATTTCAGACTTTGTTTTCTATATTAATT